TATGATGCAGACAGTGAAAATAAGAGGAATTTTCTGAAAAATAATGAGCGGTAATGAAAACAATCACAAAAAGTGAGTCTCAGAGTAAAACATACGCCTTAAAAATTTCCCTATAGGTGCAGCAATGACTCAAAAGAAAGTGCAAATATGAGAAGTTGCTGGAAGACAGCTCTTCCAGCACATACCAGCATAGTTAGCACATATTAATTTGCTACAGTTATTGGAAAAACAAATAAAATCAATCAAAAATATATATATTTTAGTAGGATTAAATTAACATCTGTTTGAAATAGTTTTACATCAAAACTGAAAATGTAATGTCTTCTGGTATCTTCAGTCTTTTAATGCTTCTTTTGTGTTCAGTGAATGTTCACATGAAATTTTAAAAAGAACTTTCTTCAAGATCCATAGCCCAACATACTTTTCAGAATGGTACTCTTTTGAATATGTTGGTGTAGGGCGGTTGCTGCTGGAGACGAAATAGGTCACACAAACACAACTCACAGTGTGGTGAAAGGAAGAGAGAGCTTTATTTCCTCTCTCAGAATTTATAGGTTTCTGACCATGGCCAGGGATTGGATAGTCAGGATAACACCTTCCCAACCACACTGGCCGTGAGAGATGTCCATCACAAGACATGTATCAGAAAGAATGTGCACATATCTATGTTTACCGTTCCTGTCCTGTGAAAGTCTTTAGAAAACTATGTCAGCAAGCTCAGAAAATTGAGTTTTCGGGGGGACATAGGACCAAAAGCAGGAGAACAGCAGAGGAACTTGAAAACGTCACAAAGGGACATCTGGTTTCCCTCCTCCTGCTACCTCCTGTACCAAAGTAGGGGACAGAAATGGCATAGCATGGGAAGGAAGCACATTAACAGTGACAAAGAGCAGGCAGTCTACAGATTCTTCTTCACACCGATTTGGGAAAGAGGCACGTGGCCCATTAGAGCTGCAGACATAGTGATGCAAGTGTAAATTCTCTAGCAATAAACTGATATCTACCGACAAAACACAACTAAATTAATCAACTCCGTGTATCACTGACTAGCTGAGAATAAAGAACAAAGGGGTTACCTTAATAGGGCTTCCATCTGGAGTGAGAACCTCTTCTGAAAGCTCCATCATCTTCAGTGACATCAGGGCAATGGCTTTGGCATGACTAAGGCTTTTCTTATGGAGCCCTGCTGCAACACAGTACGCATCACCTATTGTTTCCACCTGCAGCAATCAGACAAGCCGAGTGTTACGGTATGATAGTGAGAGGGGAACCCTGCCATTAGGGTAGCAATCAAATAGCATTGCTTAAAACATGTCAGCAAAACATCCATAAATAAGCAATTAGACAAAAGAGCATAATTACTTGAGTCTGCAAACAGGTGCAGTCAAAACCTGACATGCAACAGCATAGTGGCTTATCAGCATTACAACCAAAGAAGATTGTCTAGAACAGTGTATGGCATTAGCTGAGATATGACAACATTCTCCCACAGCAGTAACACAGAAAATTCCATTTTCCAAAATGAGAAATCACTTCATTTCATACTATCCTGGCTGAGTTTAATGTTGGGTAAGAATAGTGCTGCATAATTGTAATTTGTAATTAGTATATGATATGCTAGAAAATTGTATCAGGAACAGAATTAGAAAAAGAAAAACATCACCATAAAAAACAGTGAGGACTATCTAACTTCTCATTAGTGGGCAGCTCCTCCTGGTATAATTTACTAACAGATGCTATTGGTACAGACTTGACTGCACCTTTGTCCCTTATTTTCAAATAAGAATTGATGTCTCTCTCTATCATGCAGGCTATCTTACTCTGGATTCCCTACCTGCAGGCATGAAGTTCAGCAGACTGATCCCTCTGGTATCTTCAGGCAGGCCTTACTGCTCTTTTCTTGATTTTCTTTAAAAAGAGCTGGCCCCCAGGAGGAATTGGGAGCAAAATGAATTGCAGAAGCCCTCTGGCTCTGGGTAAAGGCAGCCTGAGAAACACTGCAGCCCTCGAGGTCTGCGGCTTTATTTACAGCACTGTGTTTTGCAGCCTGTTTGCTCACACATCTGTAACATTCTCACACAAAATCCATTAACACGAGCCCAAACAGACCTCAAGGATTAGTTTAGGTTTTATGACATAACTAATCTGGCTTTCACCCTGCACACAACACTACAGAAATGCTTCAGCAAAGACTACAGTGAGAAGAAAGCAAGCACTAAGAAAGGAGTTATTCAGAGAATAAATATAGCTGATTCTTCTCTCTGCAGAGGATCTACTAAGCAGTAGGCATGGATCTTCTCAGATTAATTTCCAGTCTTGATAAATTGGAAATAGCATCTCAATACAAATAATACCTGAAAAAGTAAGCATTACACGTAAATGTAATTTACGTGATCCTAAGCACGATCCTAGAACACAAGTATGGGAAAATACTTCCCACCACCAAACGTAATCTGCTGCAAGCCCACTGTGAAGTTTGCCACCTTAACGCTTCTGGCTGACTGTGCAGGAGACTGTAAACACAGGTAAGAAGCTGAAGGTTTCTCATGAGCTGAGACAGCCATTAGAGCTCCTTCAACACCTTTGAAAGCTCCTAATAGCACTTGTATATAGAAAAAAACATGTAGGAGAAATCAATACTGCTGCCTGCCTGTTTACCATATCTCAGGATGTCTGTCCACAAGAAGCAGACACTACCAATGCCCTGCAGTTTAGGAGTTTGTTTTTCCAAAGACAAATGGATGGGCAAGAATATTGCAATGGCTGGTGAAAAATGTAGAGAAAAATGTGAGAAAAAAAATAAACAAGCACAGTGAGAAGAAGTATCAGAACTTAAAAAGTCAGTCTGGACGAAATAGATGTTTAAAAATGCTCTAAATTGGAAGGCAGCATTAGCAGAAATCCATTGTCATTCTTCAAAATCATGAATAAACATCGGTAGGAATAGACTCAAACAGAAAGGGCTGAGTCTGTGATGTCAAATACAAAAATTAAATACAAATTCTGTTCCTTGTTAGATGACCTAATTTCAGGATTCCTCTTCCACTAAACTTGGTTGCATAGATCTGGGATCATATACTCTTCCTGCAGCGTTCAGACAAAACTACTTATTTTGTTAGCTTCTTCCCTCTTGGAAATTTCCATAGCTGTAAATTTCCATAGCTAAATTCCACACACTGAATGCACTGTACTACCAGAAAAATGGGACTGAAGCTGCCTCGAAATAATCTTTATATAAAAATAAAAATTATAATAATGCTATTTCTCCTTAAAGTGCTTGTCCCTATGGAGTTCACCTGACAGGAATTCTGGAGAACCAGAGGAAGAACTATGACTGCTTAGACTGACTTAGTAGTTTAAGCTAGATGTGATGAGTACTGGCAGGCCTGTCCAATGAATTACCACTCTGTAACCCTGTTTTCAGTCACTTCTAGGATTTTCCCCAGTTAAGCATTTAAGCTGAAATTTTCATTATGAGTACCTCCACCAAACTTTAACCTTCGTTCCATCCTTCTTCAAAATCAGATTTGACAAATCTTCCAAAAGTTCCAGGAGTTCTTGTAATTCAGATTGTTCATAGCATTTTCATTTGGTCCACTTGGATGTAGTCATAAAATCACAGAATGATTTTGATTGGGACATTTCAAGATTATCTACTTTCAGCTCTCCTGCCATGGACAGAGACACCTTCCACTAGACCGGGCTGCACAAAGCCCCGAAGTCCCATCCAGCCTTGGCTTCAGCACTTCCAGAGATGGGGCATCCACAGCTTCTCTGGGCAACTTGTTTCAGTGTCTCAACACCCTCATTGTGAAGAATTTCTTCGTTATATCAAATACAGTCACTTTTGGTTCATAACCAATGACTGTTGTCCTGTAACAATAGGCCTTGGCAAAATGTCTCTCTCTCCATGTTTCTTATAAACACCATTTATACATCAAAGATCACAACAAGATCTTCTCTTTTCCAGGTGGAACAACCCAATTCCCTCAGCCTGTCTTCAAAGGAGAGCTGCTCCAGCCCTCTGGTCATTTTTGTGGCCCTTTTCTGGACTCACTTTAAGACATCCATTTTTGTACTTAGGACAAACCAGAGCTGGATGCAGCACTGCAGGTGGGGTCTCACCAGAGCAGAGCAGGAATCACCTGCCTTGACCTGCCAGCTCCATTTATTTTGATGCATCCCAGAGTATGGTCGGCTGTCTGGGCTGCAAGTACACATCGCTGGCTCATGCCTTATTTTTCATTTACCAATATTCACAAGTCCTTCTTCAGAGGGATGTTCTCAATCTATCCATCCACTGGTCTGTATTAATACTGGGGATTGCCCTGACCCAGATGCAGAACCTTCACTTGGCCTTGCTGAACTTCACAAGGGTATATGAGGACGTTAAAATAGAGACTGCAACAAGAGTGATACATCACACTTCAGAATTTCAGGCTGGGCCCCTGAGTGAGTCAGGTACACACAAGGAAGAAGGGAATTTCTCTTGTCTCAGCTGAGGAGTAGCAATTGGACTAGAAATACAAAGCACTGCTTACAGCTAGGTCCAAAGTATCCTCTGGGTAGATCCTGAAACTGTGCATACCGGAGAGCAACCTACTCCATAAATATTCAATGTCAATAGGATTAAAAGAAAAGGCAGGCACTACTCAAAGTCTCTAAAAATTTCTGCACTCAGATCTATTTGATACTCTTCAAGATAATGATATACAGCAATGAAACTCCAGAGGAAATCTCTACCATGTGATAAACTAGATTCTGAACTTTTGACTTTGTAATGTGACTTTTAAGATACATTAGTAGTAGTATATTCAATTTTTATATCCTTTCTAGATACATACGCAGGAAAAGATATTTTGCTTTCAATCTTGTAAGACTGGAATGCCTTACCCTGATTCTTTAAAAAAGTTAAATATATTCTGTTGGGAATATTAAAGCCATTTTTGCATATGACTGACAGTTTACCATCAATAAGACTTAGTGTTTTTGCTTTTTCTAATTAAATTATAGTTTCCTACTGCTCCTAATAGTTCTAGCTACTCACTGATTTCTTGGCCTACTGTTACCAGCTTTTCATCCCTTTTTACTGATTTACGCTTACCACACTCAGCTTCACTGGAGTTTTCATTAATTGGGAATTAATACACAGCACCATAGAACACAAGCTGAACTTGGATTTCAAAATTAGACCAATCTCTAAAAACTGCATAAAAGAATTTTTATTCTTAACTAACAAATGAAGAACCCAGGAAATACTGCAGCTACTTACAGTGCTACACAAAAGCCTCCTCTAAATCCTTCTGTAACTCTCAAGTCACTGGAACTGTCCACATGGTTTCCAGTCAGGCCATCAACAAATCCCATATCAAAGTTAATAATTAGTTGAAGTGGTTGTGTGTACTCTACAGTTCAGGCAAACTTTCTAGTAAGTTATTTCAACACTGCTGAATACTGAAGAGTGATAATGCATGACACTTGCAATAGGAAGCAAATATCTTCTGCTTTTGAGAAGTCATATTCAATATACCCAGCCTCTGTTAGTCCTCGGTATATACGGTATGTCTGCTTTAGATGTGAACAGTCATTTTTACAGAAGGGGAACCCTATAGTCTGTTGTCTTACAGTCACTTATCCTTAATTCATAACCATAACCATTTGAGATGGAATACGATTTGCAGATCAATTTGGCAGCACAGAAGTCAGAATGTAATTTCTCCAATTCTAAAGTATCCAGAGAACAGAGAATAATAAATCCCTAATAGATCCCTGTGCAGCTCCAACAGGTCTGTTCCAACTCTTCCAACTACCAGTAGCTAAACCTTGTGTTGTCTTTTGTTATTAAACTGAGAAACTGGAAGTTTTAGCCAAATTATGTTCTGCAGATATAAAGTCAGGGTGTTGTTTCAGTGACAGATTTAAGAGAAAGTGTGATACACTGAAGTAACATCCCTGGTTTGCATCCTTCATCCCAAATTCATGAATATGCAGCAGTAGTTAAGTTTCTGAACTTCTAGAAGTAACAAAGGAACTGAAGTGTCACGCTTCATTTCATAGAGTAATATACATGGGGCAGAGGGAGCATTTTGAAAGTGAAACCTGAAATGGCAGGCTAAAGAATTTTCATCTAAAATACTCAGGAATTCAAACAATCTAATGAGTCCTACTTAAAACCTTTTTCAAAGCACAGCTTGGAAATAAACATAAAAAATATAATTGC